GGAGGGAAACATCATTGCAGACTCTGAGATTGGCCGTACAGGCCTTAGACCCAGACTGGTTGGACTGGTATCCGCCTAGACCTAACCTACAACTATTGGGCCTCTAAAAATGCCACTTTTGTCTTCTTCTGCTTGGCCTCCAGTACCCGCACATCTACCTCTTCAAGGTGCGGTACCGGCCTACCCGCTACTTGAGTGTTTTTCCCACTGCAATCCTTCAATGTCACGAGGTAAGTACCGGCCCTGCGGGCCCAATGAACGAGCAAGTGCCCTTGGGGGCCACACACACACTCAAGCCAACCAGCACTCAGACAGGCACGGCCACACACACACTCAAGCCAACCAGCACTCAGACAGACATGCAGTCCAGCAAGCGTGCACACACAGACTTAGTAGCAGGCGGGAAACTCAACAAGGTATTCGGTCTATGGGCAAAACTCAGAAATCAGTCGTGTGTTTCAGTCCATGTTTGGAGGGGTCATCACACTACCCCCCCCTCAAGAGCGAGGTCCCGTCGAGCGAGTGACTCATTCTGAGTCCTCAACAAACGCATCGTAAGCAAGCAAGGCAAAAAGGTTCCTGGAATACTCCGTCGCAATAAGCCTTGCGGGGAAATTAGGAGTAGCGTTAACTGCGATTTGTTGCTCGTAGGCTTTAACAACGCGTGGTGCGCTGCGTAGCAATTCCTGCTTGGAAATCCAGTACAGATTGTCCAACGGGTGATACATGAAGTGAACCTGGTACTTTCTGTTGCGTCCCTTCCCTACGTGTTGTTTAATTCTATCTATCTCATGCCCGCCTTTGATTGCATGAGGGATCATATCTTCGCGATAATCGAACGTCTTAGCATCACGGTGGAGGTACAGTTTTGATGCATGGAACACGGGGTATGTGCGCAGATGGGCTGGCACATCAACTACGTAAGAAGGGCCAAAGTGATCTTCGCCAATCACATCCAAAACTTCCCACGGACCATAATAGAGTGGGAGAAGTTTGCGAGAGACTCCCTCTTCTTCTGAAAATTCAGACATCTTGACTCAGACATAGCTTCCTACCTGAATATCCGACGGTCAGCGCCTCTTGTTTGCATGATGGATCATGGCGTGTTGTCGCGTGGTCATTGCTGCAATGGCAACCTTGAGCAAGCGATCATACTTGGCCTTGAAGCCAGGCCTGTCGAGTGTTAATCCAGCTGGCTGCTCAGGGAATAGGTAGGAGAGCAGATTACGGATCTGCCAACCGTAATGCAACCTGTTGGGTGTCATGTCGGTGGCAGAATGGACGGAGTTGTTGTACAACCCCTTAACGGAATATGACTCTTCATCCCATGTTTCCTGATCCAGAATAATCAAGGCGTGGAGAAGTTGAAACACAGTCTGGTTGATCTCCTCAACCAAACCATTGGCTTCGGGGTGTCGGCTAGATGTCATACATAGTCTGATCCCTAGTTGAGACGTGAAGTCCTTCCATTCAATACTAATGAAGCGTGGATCCCGATCGCTCACAAGAGTCTTCGGGGTTCTGAACTGCAGAATGTACTTCTGTTTGAACTCACGGATCACTAGTTTTGTTGGAGCGTGAGGTGGCAAAGGAATCAGATTAAGGAACTTAGAGAATCGGTCAACAATCACCATGACTTGTGAGTAGCCGTTCTTACTTACCTTTCCCAAGTCGGTGAAGTCAATGGAGACGGACTCCTCAAGACCTTCGGGAATGGGAAGGGGTGTCAGTAGCCCCATGGGCTTTTGTCTGCGTGGTTTGATTCGTTGACAAACTTGACATTCAGCCACAAACTTTTCAGCAGTCCCTTTCATGCCAGGCCAATCAAACTGTCTCAGCAGATTTGCGTACGTCTTTGCCATGCCGAAGTGTCCACTCCGGCCATGAGCCAAATCCAAAAAGTGCGTGCGGAGAGGCTCATGGTTGGGCACACACAAGCGGTCGTGCTTATCATAGCGGCGAAAAATCAGACCCTCGTGCTCATGAAAATCAGGTAGACTGCTGGGATCATTCCGCAACCGCTCAAGGATGGGACTAAGTTCCGGATCCTTGGTTGTATGCTCTACGAGCTCCTCCTTCAACTTAGGACGGAGATCGTAGGACTTGACCAAGCATGTCAAGTGCTCCGGATGACGAGACAATGCGTCGGCGACTCGATTGTAACAGCCTTTCTTGTGCTTGAGTTCGAAGTCAAAGATGTCAATTTCATGGAACCAACGAAGTAACGTAGGGGACAGGGTAGTTTGCTCTTTAATCCACTTCAGAGTCTCGTGATCTGAGAACACTTTGAAGTGGCGTCCCAAAAGATAGTGCTTCCAATGGTCCAAAGCCATACGCAAAGCATAGAGCTCGCGCCTGTTGGTGGGAGTGGCTACCTTTTCGCTGGGCATGCGGTTGTTGTAATATTCAAGCGCCCGCAAGCCATCGCCGTCATCTTGCTGCAACACTGCGCCGATTCCATACTGACTTGCATCCGTAGTAACTACTAATGTCAGTTTGGGATTTGCAATGCGGAGTACTGGGTAACTTACCAAGGCTTCTTTCAAAGCTCGAAAGGCATCCTTGCATGCGGTGTCCCAAGAGAGGGGAACATTCCTACTTGTTAACCGAGACAACGAGCGAGCAACAATAAAAAAGGGGGGCACAAACTTCCGATAGTATGACACGAGACCAAGGAAAGAGCGCAGTTCGTGGATGTTCGCGGGCTGAGGACAATTGCGTATGACTTCAACCTTGGTTGCCTCAGGCTCTGGGCCTGCAGCAGACAACCGATGCCCAAGATAGATGACGCTATCCTTCCCAAACTCAGATTTCTCTAGGTTGAGATGGAGTTGCGTTTTCTTGAGGATAGTGAGCACTTCCTCGAGGTGCTTGAGGTGTTCCTCCATGGATTTGCTGAAGATTAGTATATCATCGAGGTATACCACCACGGACTGACCAATCTGTTCGCGAAGGACCTTGTCCATGAGGCTTTGGAAGGTGGCCGGTGCGTTCGTGAGACCGAAGGGCATTACGGTAAACTCGTAAAGCCCATCGCGTGTTTTGAACACAGTCTTGTGCTGGTCCGCAGGATCGACTTTAATCTGGTGGTAGCCAGACTTTAGATCGATCTTGGAAAAGACCTTGCACCCACCTGCGGCATCAAGCAAGTCATCTATGCGGGGCAATGGATAGGCGTTTTTTCTTGTGATGCGGTTTAGACCGCGATAATCAATACACATGCGGAGTTTGCCTCCTTTCTTCGGAATAAACAACACAGGAGCACCAAATTCAGATTCGCTAGGTTTGATCCACCCCTTGTCAATCATCTCATCAATCTGTCGCCGGAGTTCCTCCAACTCGCCGGGTCCCATTCGGTATACGCAGCCCTTTGGAGGAACAACACCTTCAACCAACTCGATGGTGTGTCGGACCGGTCGCGTGGGGACTCCACGTAGCTCGGCCATAACTTTCGGAAACCGATCGAGGAGGTTTTAGATGTCTGGTGGGACAGGTGGGGGTGGGGGATCAGCAAAGGGATCACCTAGATCCGGTCGCAGGTCGCGTATAGAGACGACCGAATTTGAAGTAGGATCATTTGGACTAGTAGAAGGTAGAGAAGTAAAGGTGCTAGAAGTAGAAGTACTTGAAGTAGAATCACGAGCTGAAGTAGTAGTGGTATTAACCGCAAAAGTAGTTGGCACATGGGTAGGACGAACAAATGCAACATACAATTGTTCGTCCTCTTTATGCTTGCGCCATTTCTTGCAGAACTCCATAGCGTTCAGAAAAGTCACTGGGGACTCTTGCTTCTCATCTTTGACCATGAAAAGTGACTCCTTCCACTTGGTCCATTTGCATTGGGACTGCAGCCAGCCCAAGCCAAGGACAACGTCGAAGGGACACTTGTCAAGGACATAGAAGCTCAACGCATGGGTGACAGTTTTGTCCTTGTCAAAGGTAGTGCGCACACCTTTGACTGCATGCGTAGAAGAGACAACTTCTTTGTTGCCAACTTGGGTTCGGCAAGGGTTCTGCAAGGCCACTTGCTTCATTCCCAAGCCCACTTTGCGTATCCCATGAGGTGATATAAAGTTAGTTGTAGCACCACAGTCAATCAAGACACGGAGATAACGGTGGTTTATGAGAAGTTTGAAGAAGATCAACTTCACTGTCCCTTGGGCACGCAACTGTTTCATCTCAACCCAATGCTCCAAGTGGTAGTGGAAGTCGACCGTCCCAGACTCCTCCCAAGGCTCGACATACAAAACATTACATACTTCGGCCTTGGCATCAGCAGATGATTGGGTTTCAAGGGAGGGTTGCCGATTTGCATCACATTCAGTCTCCCTTGCTGTAGAGGATGCTGAAGTCGACTCTACGCCCGGTTATGGTTTCCCTGCAGCCTATAGTAATCCTGTACCTTATGGTTCGGTTTCTGGCAATGCAGGCATACCCCCTTCTTGAGTCCACCCCGCCAATCATTTTCAGTGATCCGAAGATCGACCCATGGTTTAGTGGCCGCATCCTCCGGTTTTGCTGGGATCTTGACTCCCATGGGAAGTTGGACATAGTTTTTCCCTGCATTCCGATTCAGTCCCTTTGCGTTGGCAGTTTTTTTTAAAGGCATTAAATTTTTCCTCTTTTTGGTTTACATCAGACTCATAGGCTGACAGGCTGTATCAGTGTCATGTTCTTGGTCGTCACCAAGAGTGGGGTCATCTGCATCGGCCTCCTCTTCAGCTTCCAGCAGGTCATGCACACCAAAGCGGCTGCTGCCTTTGAACCGCCTGCCGCCCATGGGCTTTTTGCTGCCTGGTGTGGAGATGAAGTTTATTGCCTCGAGACTGACTATGTCCTTCATCAGAGTGAACCAGTCAGTGTACCCAATGAAGTCCCTGCCTAGGCGATTTGTGAAACTGGTGGGAACCGCGCCTTCGGCCACATCCAAGCAAGATTGATCAGTCAGTTCTAATCCGGGTGTAGCAAACATCTTGCTGAGGTAAGTCTGGAGTCTTTTCATGGAGCCCGTCCACTTGCTGCGTTTGATTTTGTCAAGCTGGCTTCTTGCCCTTGCTGCAACGTGTGGATCCATATATTGCGCAGTGAGGAGTTCCTCGAGGGAGGCAACCGGGGTGGCCTTAAGCCACCTTGTTAGTTCTATCTTTGGAACCCCAACTCGCGTAGCTTGGACCTCTAGAAAGCCCCGTAATAGGCTCGACATTCATTCCCATGATCACGGACTGGGTCTTAGGTTGAGTCCCCAGAACCTCAAAGTATGCCCTCATGGAGTTGATCCAGGATTCAACGTCTTCTTTGTCGTCATACTTAGACGGTATTTGCACCGCCTTTCGATCTACATAGGGACCGGTGTAGCTGGAACCAGCACCTGCTGGTTCAGGTCTTGGGGCTGCAGCAGTTGCATAATTTCCTGCCTCGTTGTTTGTTACAACAACAACGGAATCTACACCTGTTGCAGGTCCCGAGGGGTTTGCCACCACACTCAAGGAAGAAGTGGAAGAAGATATGGTAAGAGGGGCAAGGTTAGTTACAATTGTAGCCCCGGAACCAGGGGGCAGAGAAAGAGGATTGGCCGCTTGGGCTTGTCACAGCGCAGCAACCTCTACCATCAAGTCACGGTACTTGTCGGTCATCTCAGTCAGATCCTCCTGAAGTGTCCGCAATTTTGCGAAGACGTCGGCAATCTGAGTGGTATGATCTTCAAGGCTCCGGACTTTGACGATAGCAGTGAGCATGGACTGCAACTGTTCCCCACACTGCTCTTTGGTCAGCGAGGGGACAGTTTCCAAGATGGCCTCCTGACTTTTTGGCAGCAATTCCTTCCTCTCCTTCTCTGTCTCCTGTTCCCTTTTGATGGCACTATCTAGAAGTGCTTGCAGATACGGTTTCTCCGCATCGCTGGCCGCATCTAATAGGGCCTTCCACTGGACTGAGGTTAGCCGTGGCTGGGCCATTTTCGGACCGTTGTCGTCGGCAGGTGGATCGGAGAGACGCCAATCAACAAAATAATCAATCGGACTCTCAAGAGGTAAACTCCCCTTTTCACTTGGACGAACGCTTCGTTTCCCAGTCCTTGCCCACCCCAGACGGTCACTTTCCCTCTCTTCCTTTTCTCTCTCCCTCCTCTCTCTCTCTTCTTTCTGGTTGCGAGTGTCCACGGGCATCGGAAATGAACTAAGAGAAACATACTAAAAAACTCAGACAAGAGAAGGTAGAACTCCTAGCCGGAGCGACATTTCATTTGGACTTAGAGAGCAGCAAACCAAAGAAAAGCAAACAACTTCACATGAGAGGTCTGATCCAGCGACCCAGTTTGATCAGACTGCATACGAGGTCCTCTCGAGTCCAATCTGACCAGCTCCGTGACCGTGCAACAAATCAGACAACGAGTGACTAAATGCAACAATGGAGAATTGAGTGGTGTACAGGGTGTGAGTCAAGCCACGGATGGTGCAACTAAAAGCATGCGAAATGTCTCAGTCGAGATCCCCTCGGCAGCCTAACCAACAAGAATAAAACTCCGGATCTCAGTCAGGAAGACAATGGACTAATGCCACACAGATTGGGGTCCAAAGGGCTCTTCTTGTTTGGGCCCGGTCCCACTCCTAGAGGTCCCACGCAGGCTACAGCCAGGTCCCAACCAAGAGGAGTCCCACATGGACTCAGTTCAGTTTCTACTGCACCGAAAAACGAAATTTTGACTTCCGGCAGAACTTACAGACTCCAACCGTTCAGAGACGAAAAGACAAAGCACTGTAGAAAGACTCGGCATTCGGATCAAGATACTTCATTTCCCATCCATCCGGTGAGTAGGTAGATCACACACATGCAATCACACAATCAAGACCACAGAGGAGTAGGAAAAGAAACCCAGAGTAACCCCAGCAGGAGAAACCATACCATGCACACATACATGGGCATCCCGTAGGTGCACGACACTTACCTGAGTGGCCTTGAGCTTCGAGATGAATAGAACTCACCCCGCTTTCATGTGATCCTCCCGACCCCTGTAACGCTACTCCTACACTAGTGTCCTATCTCCTAGGAGGGTCTGACTCCAACACCAAAGTGCAACGCCGGATCCCCCATCGATGCTGGAGAACAAAGTAGCAACTTGCAGTTCGTAGATGCTGAGTGGCCGCTGACCCTCAAGCTCGCCTACTTGAGGGCAGCCCTTAAGTTGCCAAGTGTCTCCCTTGAATCAGATTCCAGGTGCGAGTGCCTCTCACTGTTGCCTCTCTCAAATTGCCGCATGAAGTCTCCTCGAAATGTTTCGCCACCCTAATCTCACTCTCAAGCAAACTGGTTAGGTTCAATGTTGACCCCACATGACCTAACCAGGTGGGGGCCGCTTCCCTTAGCCACGCTGCCCCACTTCCCTTACATCCAACCCTAACCCTAAGTGTTGCCCTCAACCACTTAGGTTAG